GCTTGGTTAACACAAAGATTCAAGTACAAAAAAGATGGTAATCTGACCAAGGAAGAAGCATAACATTAGGTGAACAATATAAAGTTCAGGCCCATGAATTTGATAATACCTCCGAAGATAAGAGGGCATTTCACAGGCTCCTTCACACAGTATTTCTGCAGTTCTCGAGCCACTTCAGCTACCTCTTTATGTTGTTCTTTAGTCAGTGACAGTCCTCCATCAGTTTGTCTCACCTGATTCACCATTTTCACGGCATAAAAACTGAGAAATAAAAGCATAGGGGAAAAAAAACTAGCACGGCATTCACTGTTTCCTCAAGCCTCAAAAATCATTAACAGACACCCAGCGTAGACTTCTTTGGACAACAAATCGATATAACTCGCTTAATTTTACACTCATACTTTTCAAAGTAAAGAAATCTAACGGCAGAAAACGAAATTGCACCTTTACTTCGTTGGTGCGCGAATGAACTAGGTGATTCGTCCATAAAAGAAAAAGAAATAAAACATACTTCTCTTCTGATAACCGTAAGAAGAATACATTAGAGAGTAATGGATGAAACCTTGGAGAGAATGGAAGAAACAAGATCGTCAGGCCCGGTCCGCAATCCCGGGTCTGATACGGAAATCGAATTGACAACCCTCAGCGTTCTGTTCAGTCGATTTTTGCAAGGAAGTGAAACCGAAACAGGGAAGGGCAAATTTACAGGTTTCGAAGCGTGCAATGGGGTTTTGGTTTTGGATAAGGACGATGACACAGTTAAAGAAGAAGCAGCTGTTATTGCAGCGGCCATGGAGACGAGGAGAAAGATCCAAGAGAAAATCGGGGCAATTGACAGGCGAAGCCATGGATCGAAATATCGGTAAATGGATTGGGAAGATTCCACGTGTGCATGGAAATCAAAAGGTAGACCCCCTTTCAACCTCACCACGAGCTGGCCGTCTGCCACGTATGCAGATATTTTAACTGTGTTATCCTTTATCTTGTTGTGTGGACTCAATAGTGAGATTTTATTTTTTTGGAAGTTTGTATATTAGTACACAAGTTTTTTCTTTAAATTCTAATTTTACATTTTCAAAAAATTTTAGTAAAAATTAATAAAAGCTATATTTATTTATAAAAGATGTAGATTAATTATTTGTATTGTTATTATTAATATATATAATTTTTATCTTATATAAATTAGAATATTATTAAACATACAATATTATTACTAATAACAAAGTTGATTATATATTTTTTATTAAAATAAATGAAAATAATATATAAATTAGAGTATCATCAATTAAAAAAAATTTATTATGTTTATTATTAAAATTTTATAATTAAATATATTATACAAAATGTACATATTAGTAAACATAAACTCGAGTACACCTCCTCCTATATAAATAAAATATTATTAATTAAAATTAATTTTGTGTAATTATTATTAACTATTTTATAATTAAATATACTAATACAATGTATATATTAACTGTCATGTCATAAATTAAATATATGTTATTTTATATCATTGAAGTATTATTAACTCTAATAATTTATTTTCATTATTATTACAATTATATAACTAAATATATTTTGTATAGTTTATATATTAAATTGTATTAAATTAAAAATAAATTGTAATAACTGAAAAAAAAATAAATAAATAAAAAGATAAAAATTTCATAGATGAAACGGTATCGTTTGGTGAAGAGGGAGAGGAAACGGCGTCGTTTGGAGAAGAGGGAGAGGAAACGACGTCGTTTGGAGAAGGGGGGGAAGTGGACAGTTGGGATGAGGTGAGATGGACGGGCAGGATGAGAGACTGGTGGGGTATAAATAGGAGAAGGGAAAGAAAAAAAAAAGAAAAAAAAGAAAAAAAAAACAGAGGAAAAGAAAGAAAACAGAAAAGTGAGAGATCGGGGGCAGGAAGAGAAGGTGTGTGTGTGAGAGAGAGAGAGAGAGAGAGAGAGAGAGTGGAGCTAGATTGGAGAGAAACGAAAAAAGAGAGTGAACAGGAAAGAGGACCGGAACAATGCGAGCTACGGGAGAAAGCAAGATGGAGATGTGAGGTACGGTAAAATTTTGAGTTCTTGTATAGGTGTGGAGCGATTTCGAAATTGTGATTTTAGGTTGAGAAATCTAGGTTTTGGTTAGTATGTAGAGTAACAGAACTAAAATGTAGAGACAGGCGGGTGTGGATGGCAGGTTGAACAGTGGAGGCATTCACGGAGGAGGCCGCGGGAAGAGAGAGAATGAAGACGTTAGAAAGTGGGAAAGGTCTATGAGAGAGGGTGGATATTTTGTGTAAAATGAGTATAAGCACATGGTGAAGGTCGGGGGAAGAGAGAGTGAATGAGGAGGTCGGTGAGTGAGTGAGATCCGTGATGGCCATGAGAGTTTGTGTGTGTGCGATAGGGGTGCGCAGAGGAGGCCGCGGGAGGAGAGAGAAGGAAGAATGCACTCGGTGAGTGTTCTATGAGAGAGATGAGTATTCGTGATGGTGAGTGTGTGAGTTGTGATATTTTGAACAGGCCGTGGGAGGTAGAATAAGAAGAAAAGCGGGGTGTGAGGTCTGTGAGAGATATGAGAGTTCATGACTGTGCAAGGGGTCTTTAAAGTGAGCTGTGGAAGAGGAGTTCGGTGTGTGTAAAGAGATTCAGGTAAGAGAAGAGGCGCGGTATGACCGTAGGGAGAGGTAGGTATAGATGCGGAGGAGAGTGTAGATGCTAGAAATTGGGAAAGGAAAAGAGAGGCTTGTAAGACGTGGTTTAAGGTATAGGAGTA